CAGCCAGCTTTAGGCATGCACCAAGGTGCATGCACTTTGGAGCACTGAGCTCCTGAGATCATCGGTGCAGACAAATACGGAAGAGGCTTCTCTCCTTTGACTCTGTGGCAGTGATGCTCCAATAAAGTAGACACTTAATTTGAATGTCTAAATGATGGGAAAAAGCCAGGCCTCAGTGAAAACATCAATTTCCTGAGTAATTGCACTTCCTTACCAGATAAATAAACAAGGGGAGAAACATTGGTCATACTTCTAAAAGCTCTGGACATCTGGAGTTGCGGAGAGGGGATTTGTTGTTGTTCTAGCAATACCAAGGATAAAAGAGTCCATGTACATAACTGGAAATTCAGGACTTGGACATGTTTGAAAATACCCATGGTCACCTAAGGGTCCTAAACCTTTCCTATAGTCATGTAAGTAGTTCCACTTGTTTCCACCTTCCACTTTGAGTTCTACTGTACTGAAGATGCTGTCAGTTCCAGCTGAATTTAAAGGGCACGTGAATGCCTTACAGCCTGCAAGTGATAGCCCATAGCAAGTCTTGGACTGTTACTGCTGCGGTGTGAAGTACTAGCCATGGCTTGCTGCTTCTCTTAAGTCACTGATAGTATTTTATTCTGTCAGTAGGAAATTTTAAAAAATTAAGACTCAGCAGAAAACCATCATTATCTGGTTTCATTCAGCACTACCTAAAAGTAATCACTTGGTTTGTTCCACCTGTGTGTATCTGCACTGAACTGTTTATTTCCCTCTGTTGTGATTAGATCCTGCTGGTTTTGTCAGGACTCTGAAATCTGAAAAAGTGTCTTTCTGGCCTCTCATTGCTTACCAGTGCTGAACCAGTTATGTCCAGGCAGCAGGGGAGTGAAATCTGATAGGAATGTTAACACTGGTGAGAATGGCGGTGGGGGGGACCTTCAAAGAAAAAACACTCAAGACACAGCTCACCTCCTTGGCAAACCAAACAATTTGCCAGTGTCACCCCTGCCGTGGCTAAATGACTAGAGTGGAAATTTATGGGGAAATGAATGGTTCTCCTGCTGTAATTATACAAACCCTCTCCACAGTGTTACACTTCGCAAAGTCACAGTTGATAAATAATAAGCCACACAAACAGCGACTTAATGTTCATTTATTAAAATAATCTATTATCCATTTAGCTGTAGATCCACTTTGTTGAGAGTTGTTACATATTTATATTGCTAACATCTCCCTGTCCAAATGGGTATAACTGGATTGTTTTTGCAAGAGCGTGCTTCAGGGGCTGGGGCCACTGCTTTTGAGAAGCAGGGGACTGGGATTTAGTGACAAGCAACGTCCTGGTGGGACATGAGTCTCAGTGGCTGTGGAGTTCCAGACTGCTTCCAATGGTGGGTACTGCATTTATCCCTAACCTGCCCAGTGTGGCAGGGATGGCGAAGGTGAAGGAAGGCTGCTTTTCTCCTCTGCTGCCCCCCTCCGGGACCGCTCATTTCTCATAAGGTGGGAGCAAGTGTGGGGAGAGACCGCGCTGGGGTAAAAGATCTGAGCTCCGTGAAGAGGGAAGAGAGGAGGAGTTGCCATACTGGCTCGCAGTGCAGTCCCTACCCTGGGGGGTGCCCCCAGCGCAGACCCTGGCCCTCCCCAGTGTCACCAGCAGAGGAACGGGGCTAGCAAGAGCACAGGGACCCATGCTGTGTCCACAGATCCCCGCTCCTGTGCCCCAGGATTTGCCAGTAGTGGGATAAATCACACAGTTCCAAATAATTGCTACTAGTGCTGGAACTAACTGGGCTTAGAAGTATGAGAAATGCTAAAAATGTCCTTTTACAAGCAATTTCCTAGTGTAAAGAGAGCATCTGATGGGAACATGCCTCTGCTCTCGGGTTTGGATCTGTTAGGAGTTGCTTTCTCTAACAAAGCAAATATTTGGTGACAGAACTAGATGTAGAAAGTGCTGCATAGCAGGAAAGTGTGAAGTATTCATAATGATATGAAACACTGCTCAAAATTCAATGTTTTTCACATTCCGTTGCGAGCTTAAACATTGGACTCCTGTCACAGAAATTTCTGCTGCAGTAGACACAATTTCTAGCATAAATGGGCTTGCTTTCAATAGAAAATGGCACAGTTTTCAAAGGAAAAAAGGCCAATTTGTGTGTAAAAATGGGCCTCTTTCTGGGCAAAGAGGCTTATAAACATGAAGTGATAAATGGCTTTGCAAGTTTTCCATACAATAATAACAACTTCCTAATCAAAATAATGGAAAAAGTTGCATGTAGGAGAGGGGAAAGAAGCATGAGAGGAGAGGAAGGAAGAAGGTTTTAATACATTGAAAACATTTTTGAAAATAAATATATGAAAACTGTAAATTTTGTTCCACTCTGTAATCTGAATTTGTGTTGGAGACATGTCAGTAATATTTCTTTGCATATATTTATATGATGTTATAAATAAAAATCCTGTTCCGGGTTTGCTGTATTCTGAGATTAATTTCATGCAATAATGTTGTAAGACTTAAGGAAATACATTTCTTAGGATTCCCTAAGTGGCAGTGGCATCTGATTTTCTAGTAGTCCATATGTTTTTAGAACTAAATATATTCTTCTGGCTTGACTCATTGATTTTTACATGCAAATATATTGCTTCATAATAGCTGATCTGATGAGCAACTGATATGGTTGCTTCTCTCATGGCCTAAAAATGCTTCAAGATCTTAAGTGCTAAGGAATTGGGTTCTCCTTCTTACACGTGCTTTAAGAAAGGTGTTGTGATGTATCTAGGAAAGTGCATGATGTGCTGTTTAATGAATGCTTTCAAATCACTTAGCTACAGAGAAGATTGGGTGGCCTGAGAGGTTGCTTTGCTAAGCTTGAGATGAGAAATAAGTCTCTTAAAATTTTAGATGGTGAGGTACAGGCTGGGGGATGAATGGATTGGGAGCAGCACTGCATAGAAGGACTTGGGGGTGCTGGTGGATGGAAAAACTGGACCTGAGCTGGCGATGTACACTCACAGCCCAAAAAGCCAGCCATATCCTGGGCTGCATCAGAAGCCACGTGGCCAGCAGGGTCAGGGAGGGTATTCTGTCCCTCTATTCTGCTCTGGTGAGACCCTACCTGGAGCCCTGCGTCCAGTTCTGGAGCCCTCAGCACAAGAAGGACATGGACCTATTGGAGCGGGTCCAGAGGAGGGCTACAAAAAAGGATCCGAGGGCTGGATCCCCTCTCCTATGAGGACAGGCTGAGGGATTTGGGGTTGTTCAGCCCAGGGAAGAGAAGGCTGCAGGGAAACCTCGTTGTGGCCTTTCAGTACTTAAAGGGGGCCTATAGGAAAGATGGAGACAGACTTTTTAGCAGGGCCTGTTGCAGTGGGACAAGGCATAATGGTTTTAAACTAAAAGGGGGTAGATTCAGACTAGATATAAGGAGCACATTTTTTAGATGAGGGCGGTGAAACACTGGAGCAGGTCACCCAGAGAAGCAGTAGATGCCCCATCCCTGGAAATGTTCAAGGTTGCACTGGACGGGGCTCTGAGCAACCTGATCTGGTTAAAGATGTCCCTGCTCACTGCAGGAGGGTTGGGCTAAGGTCCCTTCCAATCCAAACTGTTCTATGATTCTGTTCTCTCCTATAGGATAAGCCCTACTTCAGCTTCCTTGATTGTGCTCTATAAGGCAGAGTACGATGGTAGACAGAGATTGCTGTGGTGTTATACGGAGTTTCACACCAGTTGTCTCCCTGCATGTTAATTCTCTGGAAAAGTTTTAGGTGAAGGACATAGGATGAGTGAAGTCAAAGCTGTGTAGCCTTGGCTCTTGTAAACAGCTGATAGAGAAGGTCTGAGGTTAAAAAAGCTGTCTAGCAGTGGTGCCCTAGCCACCCTTTCTGGCATCATTATGTCACTTTGTCCCTGAGATCCAGACTTATTTTTCAAGGAAGGTTTGAAAAACCATTCCTGAGCACACGTGATGGTCTTACCATATAGTTTTAAAGGTGACTGCAGCACTTCCCCATCTGTGTCCTCCATTGATGATGCAGCACATATGGTCTTTGGGCAGATGGTTCCATATAAGGCAGCCATACGAATGGAGAAAATATTCATTTTAATTTGGTGCCCAGTCTTGTCTCCAGTGAAATCCACGTCAAAATTCTCTATGAGTTCCATGGGAGCAGGTTCTGATGCTGATAATAGCTCCCTTTGATGGGATGTATTACTGCCCCGTTGTCCAGCTTACAAACAGATGTGCTTTCATGCCCGATGCAAGAGAGGTGAATTAGAAATGCTGTAACCTTCCCATTGCAGAGCAGTGGCCACAATTTTTTTCCAGGTTATGTCTGTGTTTCAGGGCAGGGAAATTAGGGATGGCTTTTGCTATGGACCTGTGCTGTCTGGTTAGGCAGTCAGATAAGTAACCAGGTTATAGGAATCGGATATTATAGATGTAAATTGTTAATGTTACTATACACATTTGCTTCATATAATAACTGGCAGCCATTGCCCATTTTAGAAACTGCTTTCTTGTTTCTTATACTGAAGCAAAGTTAGATTACCATTTTAAATGTTAATACACAGATTGAATACGATTTAATAAAGTGAATTTATATGTAGATTGTGACATTAGTATTTAATTATGTACCTATCATAACACTGATGAAACAAGCTGCTAAATATTGGTGCACTGAAGTGAGAGCTTACTCTTAAAGAGCAGGTATATTTTAATTTCTTTCCTCTTTCCTAATCTCCTTAAATTACAGGATAGATTATGTACTGTTTACCAATATTCACCTGTGTTCCTTCAGACTGTATTCCAAATCAGGTTTCCATTGTAGCAGCTGAAGCTCATAGAAAGCTGTGCTGTTTGGTAAAACACCGTGATAACAGACCCATTTCTATGCTGTGTTTTATCAGGCTAAATTACATTTTGGATTTTGCAATTTATTATTTTAGTGCGAATTAAAGTTAGTGTGTAATCTGTTGTGGTTTTTTTTAACCTTTCCTTTTCTGTTATTTTTTTCAGACTATGGAAACCCCGAAATACGAGCTAGTTATAGAAGCTAAGGACATGGGCGGTCTTGACGTGGGACTAACTGGCACAGCAACTGCCACTATTCTTATTGATGACAAAAATGACCATCCACCAGAATTTACCAAGAAGGAGGTAAGAGTTTGCCATCTGTGTTCTACAAAACAGTACATGTAATTAGCTTGTTTCTAAATATAAAAATGTTCCTTGATAGAAGAAAATAATTAAAGACATCTTTTAACTCGATGTGACAGACTTTCCTGGAGCTGCTCTTTTCTTCTTTTACATTAATAAATATGTATGCATCATTTCCAAAACAAAATGCAACCACATAAACATTTCTGTCAAGAGAGATCATTCAGAGGTTGACTAGCAGGATGAAAACCTGTAAAATAAGTTTGCTAGTGGTAACGTTCTCCTTTTGCTCCTATGGAGAATTCCTTCCTGCCTATGTTCTAGCTTAGGGCTTTTGATGGTCAGGAATATGGATGGAAGCAACATATTTTGTCCTAACTTCAATATTTCACCTGTGAGGCAGCTAGTATTGAGAGTTCTGTAATGAAAGCTCTAGTCCTAAAAGCATTACATTTAACCTGCAGGTGGAATTTGCAAGGAAATTCTTTTTCCCTGCAAGCTGAATCCCAGTGAAGAATACTGAAAAGTCTGAAAAAAAACCCAAAACAAAAGATATTCACTGCCTGCAGGAGAGTGTAATAGTGCTACAGCAAAGTTCCTTCAGGCAAGCATCTACCAAATTTCCTGCCCTTCCCACACTGCTCCCTTCCCTCCCCTACATTTATTATTAGTCTGATTTTCTTTTTTTTGCCTCTGGTATCTGGAGAGTGTCAAAAGTTGTACCTTAATAACAGCTGGTTTGGATCTTTCTGTAAAAGTTTCCTGAGGCTCTGCAAATTTTAAGGAATATTCCCAAAAGATGAGAAGTAAGCATGAGGGATGCTGATTTTAAGGTAATTTTAGAAGAAGAAAAGGAAAGCCTATTTGCTATAAAAGTCTTGGTTTTCTCCTTGAGCTATGTTCTTACTTTTTTTTTTTTCCTGGCCTAATTTTAGCGGTTTGACAACAGATTATTTTGAAACAAATTACTGCAATTTTACTTGAATAATTATTTCTTTTATAAGTGCAAACTGGATAACCAGATTTTAAAAGGATGGAAAAGGTTTTAAAAAAAAGGGAAGAAGAAATAAGAAATAATGACAATTTTGCCAACAGGAATATTATTTTTCAGTAGCAGTAGCTATAATTACTTCAGTAAAATGCTTTGGCAAGAGGATTTCAGTCACCTAAAAAGTGCCATGGAGAGCCTGATCCAAACCTTTCCAAGTACATAGGTGATAACTAAGTAGCTTTGATCAAACTACTAATTCCCTTAGAATTTCCCTTTAGATCAGGCTCCTAATGCTCTGAAAGCTTTTTCCTGACAATCAGTAGTTAAGATGTATTTAAAATACTGTATTGTTTTAGCCCTCTGGAATATGAAATGCAAAAGGACAACTCGGTGTCTTTAGAAATAGAAGTAATTGTATTAATCAATATTGATAGCAATTTGTGTCATTCAGAGTCCTACCTACTTGAATTTCCAAACTTTGAGATTTCCTCTTTTGAAGAAATCTTTTTATAATTATATTCCCTGTTTTCTCTGGTGGTTTGGACAAGCATGTTAAAAAACTTGGGTGCCTGCTTAGCCCCAAATATACTGTTAGTGTCTGTTTCTGTGGAGGTTCAGAAACATTTATAAATTCAGCTCAGTCTGTGATGGTAAAAGGTACTCAGTACCCTTGAAAGTCTGCTAGTTTCAGTATAGAAATAAAATAGCAAGTGTGAAGAGACAGCATTATCTAGCTTTCTTTGAAAAGTCCCGTCTTATATGTTTTTCTTGCACTTTACATGACTTACAAATTTTCCTATAGAGACATATCTTTTTTAATATGTTGTGACATGGTTTTGAACCTTTCACTATTTAGAGATGTTAATGACCTCAGAAATCTTCCCTCTGCTTTGCTAAATGATATTCTTATTCCATGAATAAGGCAGGAAAATTGATCTTCAGACGTGCGGTGTCAGGCCCCTTTAGAAACATATGCTCTATTTAAAATAAGTATTGTTAAGAGGAGGGGGAGTGTCTATTAATAGAGCTAATGCCACTTTATTTGGCTTACTGCTAAAGTGCTTTGTTACTGTATTTTAATACCCGTCGCATACCACATGCTGCAATACTATTGATTTGAAGAAGACTTGAAATAAAAAGAAATATTCTACAAGATAACTTTTGAAGTAGAAAGCTCAAATTCAGTAAATCTGAAGGTTTGATTTCAGAGTGTGTCTTCTTTTGTTTACTTTGAGGCTGGCTGCTTTAGGAGTGAGTTCTTACGGTATCGGCGTGTTTTCCCAGCTATCTTCCTTCTCTTTAAAGATACTTTCTCTCAATGCCTTTTTTCCTTTTGTAGAAAAAATGCTTATTTACTGGCCTGCATTTTCTTCTGATAGTATAATTTCTACCTAAAATAGCTCTGCCTTTATTTGTAATACGCTGTTGATGTAGCTGGATTAAGCTGAGTTTTCAATGTGTTCTCTTCATCTGAAAACATGGGGGCCAACTTCATTCCTGATCTGACACAGTGAAAGCCAATGAGCTTATGAGAGCTGGATTTGTTCAAAAGCCTGGACGCTGTATAAGTACAATGTTGGGTACCCCAGACTGTGCGTTGAATGGCGTTTTGTAGAAAGTAAAATGCATTGTCATATATATCTTAATAAAGATACATATAATTTCAATAATATTAGTGCCAAGACAGAAGTTTAATGATTTTTTCATAGATTTCTGCAATGTTGAAAATGTCTATATTTCTATTTCCAAGAAGTCTTATACATGCTAACAGATATTTCTTTGCGTTCTTGGTGCAAGGCAATCTCAGCCATGCCTGAGCATGTCTCTGTCCATTGGAGATGAGTTTTATCTTTTGATACTTGACCAATCTCTTCCTCTTTTTTTTTTTTTTTTCCCTCCGGAAACGAGTTTATGGACCTACCCTTAAGCAATAATACACTTCTATGTATTCTTATTTATAATATTTATTCCTCGGAGGTCAGGTCCTTACTCATCTATTCAAAATGCTCAATAATGGGCTTTATTTGATGTTTGCAGAAAGGTCTAAAAACTTTGTTGCTGTTTGCAGTTCTGCAGTAGCCTCTACTGGGTTTATGTAGATCGTGCTGGAAGAGGGGGTATTTGTCCAGTGAATCTGTTCTTCCACCTGCTATTTTTCCCCTGCATACCACACCCCTGCCATTCCGATGCAGTTTTGTGGCCTTTGTGCTTAGGGACAAATTCTTTGATGGGGTGTCTGGACGTAACCACAGAAGCAGCTGAGCAAACCTGGCTGTGATTCAACATAGCACTTCCATTAACTTCAGAGTAGTTTAAGCCCTTGAGTAAGCGTCAGGTACTTTGATGGGTTAATGTACGAGACACTGCTTTGTGGGATTCGGCCCAGTCAACTATTTTGTTACTGCTCCATCACTCTACACACCTCCAAAATACCTGCCTTGTTCCATGTCACGTATATACTTACCCTTCCTGTTCGTAATAGGCTCCGAGCACTGCAAAAATCCATTCAGATGTGCAAACAGTACCCTGTTCCCTCCAGGGGTTTAAATAATTTCATCTTTAATGCCTAAAAGAGAAATGTTTTAAGAGCTCCTCCAAAAATCCCAGGTGAGGTAACAAGGTCTGCCTTTTAAAAGGTCACAGTAGCTAGTATGTTGTGCCAGATTTAAATTATAGAGAATGAAAATAGAGAAACTTGTAAAGTTAGTGGCCTCTTTTTTGGGAAGTTTTTAAAATTTACAACCCTACTTCTGTAATATGAAAGAGTTTTAAAATTAATTCTGTGATTATTACTGAATACAACATGTATTTTGTATCACAAAGAGCAATTTGACATTTCCTTTCCAGCAAGTAAAGGGCTTAGGCTCAACTTTTGTTCAGCAGCAAGGGATTACTTACGTGAAAGTAAGAAATGAAGCAAAGCAAGGAGCAGGAATTGATCATTCTGGAAAATCTGATAGCTGATCTGTGTACTGCAGGACATGCAAACTCTGTGGGAATGAGTTAGACTGAGTGAATGCTAATGGTGTGCTGAGTATTTTTTTTATACCTAGCACATTAAGAAAAATGAGAATTATTTTCTCATGTCAATTTAACGGTTGGTGACAGACCACTGCAGTGTCGTATGCCTGCAAAACAGTGATTTTTGTCTACAATTAATGTCACTGTAGTTGAAGTGCGATGAAAAACTAGCAATGCAGCATCTGCTGGAAGCCACAAAAGCTGGCAAATGCTTCTCTTGTATCTGTTCCTGTAGGTGTGGTTCTGCCCAGATCTTCCCTAAAACCCAGTGGAGGAAAAAACATTGTTTCAACATGACAACAATATGGATTTAATCCCTCCTCCTCCTCATTCTTTCTCCTCCAAAAAAAAGCAGTACAATGAATCTGGTTTTATATCATCACTGAGCACAGGGTATATGCTCAAAAATGGGATTCCACTGAGTATATTTGCCTCCCCCTTCTGGCTTCTGTCCTGATTTTTTAAAGTACCTGTTCCCAAAGAAGCAGCTTCCATTGCTGCTTTTTAGTAATACTTTATTTTTCCTTAATATCTGATATATTGTCTTTCCTTAGGAAATACTCTCAGGTGCTTGAGAGAAGAATGCAGTGATTTGGCTAAAGCAGGGGTGATTTTTCTACCATCCACTCAGTTCTCACATCTGTCCTTCACCACAGGTTTGGGACAGCAGCACATCCCTAGTCATCACCCTTGTCAGAGAGCTCTCACTTGCTCATAAGAAAGAGGGACTTCATTTGGCCAGGGAACAGTCTCATTCTTGACTACAGCTACCTGAAAGGAGGCTGTAGTGAGGTGGGGGTTGGTCTCTTCTCCCCAGTAACAGATGATAGGATGAGGGGGAATGGTTTGAAGCTGCACCAGGGCAGGTTTAGGCTAGACATTAGGAAAAACTTCTTCACCAAAAGGGTTGTCAGGCTCTGGAATGGGCTGCCCAGGGAGGTGGTTGAGTCCCCATCCCTGGAGGTATTTAAAAGGGTAGATGAGGTGC